AAGCTGTTGTAAGTACATCAAAGAAGTGAAAGAAGCTAAGGGTAAGGTGTCAAGCTCTTCTGGTACGTACTCTTTTCAAATCAATAACACTTGTATTTCAAATTCCTAGGTCCTTGCTATAGGACGTGGTTTCCACATTTTTTTCTGATATGCATGGGCTAAAGGAAAGTGAAGATGTCGAGCATGGGAAGCTGAACCTGATCATGGGGAATACGCGAAGGTCGGTTGTTACACGGATTGGGACGTATGAGATTATGTAGTGTTAGGGTTGATTTAAATAATTGTTGCTATTCGCCAGAAATGGCTCGAAACATTATTTCATTTCATGCTTTATTTAGATAAGGATTTCATTATGGTTTTGATAATAATGATGGTACAATTCCTGTTTATCGTAATTGTGCATTTATTTTCAAAGCTTATCATTGTGATGGTGTATATGAAACTATTGTTCGCGTGCATGAATTTAGTAATAATGTTTATAACATTGATTCTTGTAATAAATTAGACAAAGCATGATTATGGCATTGTGGTCTCGGGAACATCAACAAGAAACATATCGCCCAACTCCAAAAGGATGGAGTGTTGGAATTGTTTGACCTAAAATTAAACGATGAATGTGAGTCTTGCTTGTTGGGCAAGATGACTAAATCACTTATCGCTGGTACTTGTAAAAGAGGTGAATTTTTTTGGCACTCATCCATACAGATGTATGTGGTCCCTTCAGATCTGCCACAAGGGATGCTAATCGCTACTACGTGACATTTACTGATGATTAAAGTAGGTATGGATATATCTACTTAATCAAGCATAAATCAAATTTTTTTGATAGGTTCAAAGAGTTTAAGCATGATTTAGAGAATCAATTGGGCAAGAAGATAAAGATGCTCCAATTTGATAGAGGTAGAGAATATCTTAGTATCGAGTTCAACGACTATCTAAAGGAATATGGAATTGTTTCACAATTGACACCTTCTAGGACACCACAACTTAATGGGTGTAGCTGAGTGGCGTAATTGAACCTTACTAGACATGTTTCGTTCCATGATTAATCAAAATTCACTCCATATATCATTTTGGGGTTATGCTTTAGAAACAACAACACGTATTCTAAATCTTGTTCCTACCAAGAAGGTTGCCAAACCAGGTCATGAGATGTGGATGGGGAAACCTCCCTCGCTCACACATATCAAGGTATGGGGTTGTGAGGTTCTCGTTAGGAACGAGACCCAAGTCAAACTTGAACCTATAGCCGAGAAGTGTATTTTCATTGGCTATTTAGAAAATTCCTTTGGATACTTGTTCTACAGACCTAGTGACAATGTGGTTTTTGTAGCTCAAAGGGGTGTCTTTTGAGAGAGAGGGCTCATTTCCAAAGAGGTCAGTGGGAGCGCGATTGATCTTAAAGAAATTCAAGATTCATACAATGAAGAAACCTTTGATGACACTAACTCTCAACCTGAGGATGAACCCGTTGAGCTTATTGACAATTCATTACCTCTTCGATGATCCAATAGAGTTAGCGCACCACCTGAGTTCTATTGTTTCCATATAACGAAAGATAGGGATATGTTTAGAAGTTATTACACATTGGTAAATTTGGATGAGCCATCTATCTACAAGGAAGAAACGACAGACCTTGAGGCTGCTAAATGGAAATAGGCAATAGACAGCGAGATCCAGTCCATGTATGATAACCAAGTGTGGAATTTGGTTGATCATGCACCTAGTCGAAAGTTTGTAGGTTTAAAATGGATTGTCATAAAGAAGAAAAATATGGAAGGTAATGTACAAACCTTCAAGGCAAGGCTGGTTGCAAAGGTATTTACTCAAACCCAAGGGATTGATTATAATGAGACCTTTTCACCAGTTGCTAAGATTAAGTCAATTAGGGTAATGCGTGCCATAGCTGCTCATTATGACTACGGAGTTTGTCAAATTGATGTCAAAACTGATTTCCTTAATGGGAAACTGGCTGAGGATATTTATATGGCTCAACCAAAAGGTTGAGAAGTCCATCTATGGACTGAAACAAGCGTCTCGTAGCTGGAATCTTTGTTTCCATGAAAGGTCAAAGAATTTGGATTTTCTAAAAGTAAGGATGAGTCGTGCGTATATTTCAAAGCTAGTGGGAGTATAGTGGCCTTTTTAGTCTTGTATTTGGATGCCATACTCCTAACAGGAAACAATGTTCCCACCTTGCAAGAAATCAAGTATTGGCTTGGAAAATGTTTCGTTATGAAGAATCTAGGAGAGGCTACATATACTCTTGGAATAAGGATCTACAGGAACAGGTAGAAACGCTTACTAGGACTTAGCCAAAGTACATATTTGGATAAAATATTGAAAAGTTTCAATATGGAGAATTCCAAGAAAGGGGACTTGACCATGAATCATGCTGTAAAATTGAGCAAGGCTCAATGTTCTAGTAGTGATAAGGAAATAGGTACCATGAGTTTAATCCCATATGCTTTATGTTATCGCATGTACTCGCACCGATGTGGCTTATGCTTTGAGCATGGTTAGCAGATATCAAGGGAATCCTAGTTTAGCTCATTGTACTGCAGTGAAAAACATTCTTAAGTATTTACGAAAAACAAAAGATATGATCTTAGTTTTTGGTTGCAAAGATGAACTTAAAGTGAGTGGATATAGTGACGCCAATTTTCATATAGATCGGTATAATAGTTATTCTCAATCTAGCTGAGTTTGTCTATTAAATGGTGGAACAGTAACTTGGAAGAGTTCTAAGTAGCAAACGGTGGCTGATTCTACTTGTGAATCAGAGTATATAGCAGCGAGCGAGGCGGAAAAGGAATCCATGTGGTTAAAGAATTTTATTAGAGATCTTAGAGTTGCTCCATCAATCCAAGAACCAATGGAGATTTTCTGTGACGAGGGTGCGGTTGCTTTGACTAAAGAACCTAAGGATCATGGTAGACCTAGGCACATCGAGAGAAAATACCACTATATCAGACATAAAGTTGAAGAAGGTGCTATCCTGATAAATCGTGTGTCATCAGAGGAGAATCTTGTTGACCCTCTCAGCCAGGGGTTAAGCAAGCGTAAGCACTTCGAGCATGCTAGGAGCATTGGGCTAAGAGATGATATTAGATTCTATATTTTAGTAGTTGGTTGATGTTTTGAAACAATGTAGCAGTAATAAATTGTAACTCAATGGTGATTAATTAAATAAAGATTTATTTATATTCAAAGTGTGTGATGCCATTTGTCAAGTAATATATTCTTGTGTTTCACTTTGCATGTTTTACTTAGAAAATATTAATTTATTCGATATGCCACAGTCAATCATATTTTGGGAGTTGGTATTGATTTAAAACTGTCATGAATTGTTTGTATATTGTTTATAGGGATTGGACATATCATAGGGATTGCTGAAAAATTCATGAGTACTTTGGAAATAGGGATTTTAATTATTGGTTAAACCCGCGCTTAAAGATTACTTCATGGATTCAATCACGAGTAATTCTAAGACGCTAATATCTTCTATTCTTAAAACAGAGATATATAAGTCATATTTCACAAATCAATTGTGCATTGGTGGTCATCTCGTAACTGGGTGTTATAAAGTGTAATTCCATGCATGATTTGGTGAGTAAAAATTGATGATTATATAGTCAAAGTTTATTCGTTCATTTTGTCTTAACAGGAAAAGCGATATCTTTGGGTCCCTCGGTGATTTGATATTGACATTATAGTGCTGGGTCTAGCCAAGCCTAAATTGATGTATTCAATTGGTAGTCTAATGATGTCATCACAAATTGGGAAACCGGGAACCAGAATATGGGACAATGAGATTGATTTAAATACATGTCTCGTGTCTATTCGATATCAGGAAGAACGAAGGGATAGTTGATCACTTATCTTGAGACCGAAGTCTAATCAAAGTTTGGCACTGTCTTTGGAAAACACTCTTTACTGGTTATTCGGAATTGTACTTGTAATTGTAGTTATCAACTTATCCAAAGCGGGAGACTATTGGATTAAGGTGTCTAAGGTCCTAACTAAATTGGTATAATTTTGCAGAATAAAAGTAATGTCCTTTTTGGGTAACCCTCATAACCAAGAAATAGCTTGGGTTGATTAGCGATGAGAGTTATATGATTTATTAATATATTATATGATTGATATATTAATTAGAAATAAAAATAATTAATTAAGAATTAATCAGAATTAATTTAAGATAAATATTGGGTTAATTAGAATTTATTAAAAGTACAAGGGATGAGTTGTAATTGTTTAATAGTTGAACAATGGAGAGGATCTAGAATCCTCTTATGATGGTTCGTTTTTGGGATCCCTTGATAGGGTTCTGGAAGCCTCCATTTGATAATAAAAAAACTAGATAATTACCTGATTTGAATTATTATTATTATATGTTCAAATCTAGGGTTTCTAACGTTTCCAGCCAGCTATAAATAGAGCCTTAGACCCTTGGATTTTCCGCTAACCCTTCTCAAGAGTGAAATCCGAAAATCTCACCTCTCTCCCCTCTCCCCTCTTTGCTCTCATTTAAATGAAAATATACATTTTTTAATGCACAACTTTAAATTAATAGAATGTAAAGTTAACATGATGATTATTTTATGGAGGACATAACTTGAAAAAAAAACACACATCATAATATCATATAGCTGTGAAACTAGGTTACATCTTTGTATAACCCTATTCTAATCTCCTCCAAAATATTAAATCCTTGAAATGATGATGATCCTTAGGTTCTGTGTGATATGAAGAAAAGGGGGAGTGAATGGAATGCGTTTATTCCATGGAATGCAAAAAACTTTTGGGGAAATTTCATATATACCCTAAATAAACACCAAAATATTATATTTGCCCTATTTAATATCTAAGTATCATACACAACGTTCTAAAAAGTTTGCCCGCCTCGCTTTAACAAAATACTGCCTTAAGTCATATATATATATATAAAAATAAATTATAGTAGAATTATATATAGAATTATTAATTATATACAAAATTGCAGTATTAAGTCACACCTTACAAACAACATGACTCGCCATGACTTGTAAAAGCTTGAGGCTTGACATTGCCGCCTAACATTATTTTGAACCTTGATCATATATGCCCTAAATAAGCATCCATAATATCATATTTGTGTTTGATGCAATTGAGTTGATAAACATCGTAATCTTTAATTGTTTTTTTTATCTGAATATATTTTATCAGGAATTTTTTTATGCTATCTCTTCCGATAATTTCTGAGTCTCCCCCTCTTTATCACAAGTACCTTCAAATAGGACAATCAGAATGTCCCACATTTCCTTAGCTGATTCACAGTACATGACAATACGATAAATGTCATCAGGCAAGGAGACACTCAGAATATGCATTGCCCTATCATCAAGGGCAACTTTTTGTTTATCTTCATAACTCCATCTGCTTCGTTCCATTAGAGGAGTATGCCGGCCTTCCTTTATTGTTTCTACCAATTTGCTGTCAACGAAGTTTAGGAAACCAATCATACGGTTCTTCCAAATGGAGAAGTTATCAACACTAGAGAGTCTTGGGGGCACATTTGTTGAGCCATTTTCTAGTAAATACATTCTTGATGCCATAGCAAAATCCTGCAACCCATTACATTGTTCATTGTTCATTAGTAATATATACATACAGATACACATACACAATTGAAATATATAAACATGCATAAATACAAGTTGCATGCAAAAGAAACAGCTTCCATTAGGATGAAAGTTAAATAAAGAATCCGGGATATTATGATAAGTACATTATGTCTCACGAATAATAAGGCAACATTGCAAATGAGAAGTAATTAAGAAAGCATGGGACCTAATATAGTGCAATTAATAAACTCATAATACAAACGCACTTTGGAGCAAATATGCATAATTAATCCTACGGATAACGTATGAATGTGGTTAGCTAAATGTTATAATGATTATGAGAGATGGTAAGCCTCTATTGGAAATCGGGACATGTTTTGGATATATCAAAATTCAACCAATGAAAAGAGTGAGAAGAACTAGCAAACTATTATACTAAGAGAAGCTCAACATGTCAGGATTTAAGGGATGTTTTGGAAAAAAGAAACCTACATTTTCCCTTGTGATCTTGACATCTTTATGACCTCCAACGTTAATCGTTTCTCCCTTGGGTTCAACCGTTTGATGATAATAATGAATATTATCATCCTTCTTCTTGCTCACGACATGGTAAATCTGAGTCAACACTTTGGTGAAAGCGTTGTTGACATTTAACATGTTGAGAGCCGATGTTTCCATGAATAAGTTAATATTCTCTCTCTCTGCAAATGTCTTTGCATCCTCTGTTTGGACAGATCGTAAGTTAGCTTGATCCACTTTGTTCCCCACGAGCATGATCACGATGTTTTGATCTGTGTGATCCCGCAGCTCTTTTAACCATTTTCCCACGTTTTCAAATGATACTTTACGTGTGATGTCGTACGCGATCAATGCACCTACTGCTCCTTTATAGTACGCATTAGTTATGGCCCGATATCTGTATTGGATATATACAGATAGGGTCAAGGGGTGTTAGATCTAGGAATTCCAAATATTAATTAATGATGAAAATACCTTTCTTGACCTGCGGTGTCCCACATTTGGGCTTTGATGATCTTGTCTTCAATGTTGATGCTACGGGTGCCAAATTCAACCCCGATGGTGGATTTGGATTCGAGGATGAATTCGTTATTGGAGAATCGCCGTAAAAGATTGGTTTTCCCGACACCTGAATCCCCGATCAAAACAACCTTGAACAAGTAATCGTAATCATCGTTTGCATGAAACGCCCCCATATCTTTAAAGGGAGATCGAAACAGCGTTCTGGAAGAAAGATATCCAAGAATGGAAGATGATTAGAGTTTTGTTTTAGTCTTCCGGTTATGTTTTCTATCAATTGTTTAATTTCGTTCAAAAAATCTAAATACCAGATAATTAATGTTTACCTTCTTTTTAGAATGACTTGTGGAACCGCGATTGAACAGAACAATATAAATAACTAAAATGATTATATTATTTTGCACATACCAAAATATATTATTTATTTACATGAAATGTTACCGAGGAATGGAGATAGTTAATTCTAATAAAACAGAATTTAGAAAAGCATTTTTGTAACTTCTGATGATGGATCACGAGGTAGGAAATATATAGTGGATTTCGCACAAAATTGTGTAGGAAATATATCCTTTATTTTTTTGAATTTCAATTTTTTTTTTCTTTTTTAAGCGTACTTTTAACACAGATGTTTTAACGTTATTTACAAATTATTTACAAATTATATAAACATTTTAAACATCAAATTTTAGCCTTATTAAATTAAAACTATCATTACACATTCAATGCTTTAATATATTTGTCTTTATAAATTAGTTTTGTTAACTACACCAGATTTGTTTAAAATCTTAATAAAATTTTTGTTTGTCTAAAGTCTAATCCAACACACGTCACTCCAATTTTCATTAACAACTTTTTTTTCTAAAATTTGTTTAGATATTATGAACTTATTTGGTTTTAGTTGTCACCTCAAACACGACACTCCAATTTTCATTAATAAAATTTTAATACATAAATTACAAAGAAAAAAACTAATTAGAAAATATGGTAAATAGAATGTAGTGAAGCGGAGAGCAAAACCATTTAGAGAGTTAAACTATATAATGTACTAGGTTATAACCCCTGGTGACAACGCAAAATAATTTTGAAAGTTAAGAGATGTTACAATTAATAATATATTTAACAGTTTTTTTTTTTTTTTTTTTTTTTTTGAAACTTAGATGCATACGTTTTGTCCGAAACTATATAATTATTAATTTAAATTAGTTTTGCAAAATGTTTTAAGATATAAACAAAAATAATTTTAAGCTGCTAGATTCGCTACAAAGCTAATCAGTTGTAAACATTTCCACCATAATCCAATGAAAGTATGAAGTTATTTCATGCATTTTCCATAGTCCAAAAAAGTAATAAGGGGAGAAAAAAAAGAAAGTAAATTGATCCACCCCTAAAATCTCTAAAATATAATGCAAGCTTCTAGATACGCCCAATGTTATGTATTGTACTATTGTTTGAATCTCATTTGGTTGAATAACAGTCGACTAATATTATAAAATCATAGTTAGATTTTTATTTATTAATTTGAAAAGCCTCTTCTTCAACTAAACTTGTATCTTAGGCTATGTTTTCGAACTAAAGCTTCCGCTAGCATTTATAGTTGAGTTCATAACGAGAGACAACTCCTCAAAATGTTCTACATTTTAATTTAATCATTTCAAGTTTCATCATTTCCCACATTTTAATTGCATTTATCCTAAGGTAAAACGGCTTACATAACAACAATGCAACTCAAGGGATGTTTAAACGAAAAAAATGAATAATCAAGAGTATGGAATATGAAATATCACAAGAATATCGGACAATTTGAGAATAGACTATGAATGTATCCAGAGATTTGAGAAGAGAACTAAACAATACAAATTAATGGGATTGCAAAAAATAACCGATACTGTGAGATTATAAAGCCTTTTGAGTGGTGTGGTCAAACCAATACAACCAACACCTATTTATACTGAGGGGGGAATATGATAACAGGTAACACTGATTTACCGATAGAGACTCTCAGATGCACTTTGTCATATCAATGTCATACCTGTCACCCCAAACCAATACATACATACATATACATATGTATTTATACACTGTACACACACACACACACACCTAGTTGTTCTAGGGCTGCCATACTCTCGTTCCTCAGCTTCAATAGTGATAGCTTGAGCTGGACATATCTGATACATATTGTGCAATCATCAGATGCAGAAACGGACATATATAAATGAAGATATTACATTTTTGGTCCCTAAATACAACTGATATTTTCAATTTTGAAGGGTAAAAACTAAAAAGAATAAGAATCAGAAGTCAATCATATACATGAGGGATCTTAAATTGATGCATAATCAATGTCATGATCAGTGCATTGCAAGGAGGTTTTAATTCTTTTATCATATGAGTGTTTCTTATACCAAGATCCAAATAAAGAACTATGAATCAAATAGATATCATGTTCAGAAGGAACTGATCTTCAAGGTACCCATTTTTTTTTCTTTTCCAACCATAAACAGAATCATTTGTTGAACTCAAACAGTATGACAAGTTTTAGGTTTACAAATCCATAGGCTAGTTTGACAAAAAGGTAATGAAAATTCTAGGTTACGAGACAAATCACAATGGAGGCTTATAAAGATATTTAAACATGGAAGGAACTATGAACATGAAAAAGAAATGATCAATAAGGCCCTATTTCTTTTTTTTCCCATTGAAGTGTTGTGTGGATAACTGGTATTAAAAAAAAAAAAATTGGAAGAGTTATGTTTTGTGCTCATGAACATGACATAACGCTTTAACACATGATTTATATAATGTGAACATGACAATATAAGAGAGAAGCTCGAAAGCATGCCTTTATCAGTGGAAAATGAATGTTTGGTTGCAAAGGAACGTGCACCAAAAATTGTCCCATGGATGTTAGAAACCTGCAAGGCTTGTCCCACTGCAGCCTGGCATAAATGGAGAAGTTGTAAATCGTCATCAGATTGTTTAGAAAGGTATCGAATTGTTCTTGTCAGGTTTTAGAATCTATGTGAATCTTAATTTTAAAATTTTGTAGAAATGACTTCTAAAGTTAAAAATTCCTTTTTTTTTTCTTTCACAAATACATCAGCCATACTACCAATACGCACATTTCTACAACATCCAATTAGGTTACAGAAGGAAATATATGTAGCATATGGATTCGATTTATAGAAAAACTATATGCATTACTCTGGAAATAAGTATTTGACCTTCTAATCAATTTCATATCACACTAAAATCATCCATTATCCAAGATATTCGGATCATTCTGAATGGACTATAGTTCCTTTGACATCCAAGACGCTTGTTTATGTTTCTAAGAGACATAACCCATTCTCGCTCAAATTACCTTCAATTATACTCTCCTTATCACCCACTCTTTTTCTTTGGAAATTTTTGAAAAAATAAAAAGAAAAGAAAAATGATTCACAATCCAAAAGGCCATTAGGGTTAGAAACATAGACACCTTACCTTCAAACCCATTGATTTGCTGCTTTTGTTCTATCTTTTTCAATAGTCGTTAGATGCCTGAGAAGGAAATCAAGTCGGAACTAAGAGAGATTGAGAAGGAAGTGACACAAAATACAACAGAAAGTTGGGTAGTGATGAAGTCATGCGATGGTGGAAGAGACGTGGTGGGTTTATCTATCGTGTTTTGGGGTTTGGTTTAGATTAGCATAGGCGGTGGTAGGGTGTACAGTGGAGGTAAGATGGTGGTTCAGTCAAATCGATGGATGAAGCAGGGAAGTTGGGGGTATTGGAAGACGAAAACAAAGATAATAAGGAGATGGTTGCGGATTTTAATCGTGATTTATTAAGATTGAGTTGAACATCAATGAAGACATTCCTGATTTTGTGTATTTTAAAATTTGAATAAGTGATTTTGTTTCCAAAACGTATAGGAGCAATTGAAGAAGATAGAGTTGTGATTGGGGAGGGAACGGATGAACATACATCACTAATTTGGTGACTGATTTTAAGGGACTAAATTTCAATTTTTATTTTTTCTAATTTTCTCAATTTGTCATTGATTTAGAAGATGGGCGGGAAAAACCAAAGCTTAGACTCTAAAAAATGGACAGGTGGAAAGTAGAGTGGTAGAAAGGTGCCATGTGACATGGTTACGAGTGTTTTATTAAGCGTGGAGATGGAGATTTATAATCTGTGTAATTAGTAAAACTAATTTATACAAAAATAATATCAAAACATCATGTATAATGATAGTTCTAATTTAAGACGGTTAAAATTGATGTTCAAATGATTTGTATAATTTATATAAACAATATCAAAAAATCTATGCTAAACATATATTAAAAAAAACATAAAAAAAATTGAAATAAAGAAAATAAAAAAATGATATTAAAAAAAAACTACAAACTGATATAAAAGAAAAAAACTGATATTTAAAATAAAAAACAATAAGAAAAACTAAAAAGTAGAGGAAAAAATGGAAAGAATACTAATTTAGTAAATATCTTTGAAACTATATATATATATATATATATATATATATATATATATATATATATATATATATATATATATATATATATATATATATATATATATCAATAACTCTATTTCGGTCATTGTTTTTGGACAAAATTGAATGTGTGATAAAAAAAAAAACTAATCATACGAAACAAATTTTTTCCATTCTGAATAATCTTTTATAAATAGACAATTTTACCATTTCTTTTATTTTATCAAACTTTACACTTTACCCATTTGACTATATAAGTTTATATCTACAATATATAACATTTTTTTTTGCAAAATTTAAATTTTACAATTTTATACATTTTACCAAACTTAGATGTCACAACTAACATTTTTAGCTAGAAAATTTTGTTTTCATGCAAACATCAACTCTTGTACGTCTTGTAATCTAATTTAAATATCATACTCTATCCTCAATCAAAAACATTCATTCGAATCAAAAATCCTGAGTGAAGTCCAAAACCTAACTCAATACATCTCAAATACTCAATTGTGGGTTTGAAACCCTAATAACCCGGTTCACCTCAGGATGGACCAGGATCCTCTTATTGGGTCTAATGAGCCAATAAACTCTCAATTTGATTACTTTGGGTCTTGGAACCCTAACTGGGCTTCAATTGGACCACATTCATGAAACTAAAGCATTTTGGATCATGTGGGCCTAAAATGACTCATCTTGTAATCATGGGCCTTATTGGGCCGTAAATGGATTCATAAGCCCTATTGGGCCGTGAACTAACTTCTTGGATTTCATTGGGTCGTAAACCCCATCCCCTCACCATCTTTGGGTCGTGAATCTATAAGATGGGCCCAATGGGCCGAAAACTCATTGTTTATACCATCTTGGACCGTAAACTCTCAAATGGGTCCACAAAAAAATCGAAAATTCCTAATGGGCCTATGAAATTTAAGCCCAACATCAAAAAATATAAATAAATAAACAAAGAAGATAATATGTGAGTAATTTAGAACATGACACCTCATTTTTGCCTAATGGATATCCATGCAAAGTTTGTGTGTATCTAGGCAAACATCATTTCACTCTCCTCATAAATAAACTCACCACCCTCCCACCTCTCTCTACCTCTCGGCCCCTCTCTCCATCTTCTTTCACCATTTCAAAACTAACTCATTTCCTCTCAACCTTCAACATTCATCCACCTCTTTCTCTCTAAAATTTGTGTGAGTGTGTATGTGTTCTTCAAGAATTCTTCATCAAATATCATCATTTTGGTAAGCTATTCTATCATCAAAGTGTTTAACTCCATTTCATGATACTCTTCACTCCTTAACACTTCATTTCATGGTCCTTGCTCTTAGAACTACATAGATCTCGAAATCCACTCAAGAAAGCTTGCTAAAGGCCAAAATCTCATCCATCCTTCATCAAAAATCGAAAACTCCAAAGCAATGTGAGTTCATACCCCCTGTTTTCGGTTTTTACTAAGTTTTGGGGGAGAATACAAGTTGTTTTGTGTAGATCTATGTGTATATGCATGACTATGTGTGTTTTTCATGATTTATTTGGTGATTATGTGTTGTTTACTTCATAAATCTAGAAATATGTTAAAAATATGAAGTTTATCACTTAGATCTTCATAAAAACTATGAGAAAAGTATATGTTGTCATGTAAACTTGCAGATTTGAGATTTATACACTCAAAATAGGAAAAACAAGTGTTGTGATAAAAAATCTATAACCTAAACTCAAAAATCAGCTTTTAACAGAAAAGTTTTGGTCTAGTTACGGACTGTTTTGACCACCTTGATGGTAATATTTTTCAAAACTGTTTTACATGAAAAAAGTTCAGGTTTATAACTTTAAAATGACTACTCTCACGCGTTCATACGATTTTTCTACAATTGTTGGCGATTTTTACAAAACTGCCTATCATTTCCGGAATGATTACGGACCAGTTTGTGAAGATGAACATTTTCACACTGGTTTGAGGCCATTAAAAAATATAATAAAAACTATGAACAAATTAGACTCATTTTCCAAACTCTCAGAGTTTACGGATCCAAATTTTAACTTACGATGATTTTTCTATAATTTTTCTAAAAACAGGGACAGAAAGGTCAAAAACAAGGAAATTATTTTTATCATGCTAAAGCTCTTATACTTGTGTTAAATGCAAGTTTTGTTCTTAAAAAGGGCCTAAAATGTTATATTTTCCAAAAATGTGCCTTAATTTTAAATTTTCGGCTTAATGGGCCAAAAATGTCATTTTTACAAAAAGTGGGCCTTTTATGTCATTTTTGTAAATAATTGAGCTAAAACTAGCAAAATAATAACAAACAGGCTAATTAGGTCATTCTCATGTTTATTGGGCCTTAGTGACCCATTTATATGCTTGATAGGTCCTGAATACTCTTTATATGTTTATTGGGCCTTATTGACCCACTAACATGCTCGACGGACCTTGGATACTCCTTGCGTGCTATTTGGGCCTGTAAATAACACACATGTGAAATGAGCCTTAGTTTTCCTTTTACATATATTTTGGGCCCATGTTATATAATCTCATTCCTTTCGAGCCTTGAAATGATTTTACATGTTTAGTGGGCTTTTGTGTCCTTCTACATGCTTAGTGGGCCTTAGTGTCCTTTTGCATGTTTAGTGGGCCTTAGTATCCTTTTACATGTTTAGTGGGCCTTAGTTGTCCTTTTACATGATTCATTGGGCATGGAGTGTGCTTTATATGTTTCTCTTCGCGTAAATTTCGATTAAGGATCTAGTGAGACGTGTCGGTTGACACCTATTGAGTGTACGATCGTCGCATGTAGTTATAACCAGAGTCTCTTGGAGGGAGAGCGGGGATATGTGTATGGATCTATACAGGGATGACACCCCACACCTGAGTTGTTCGCTACAGTTAGACTAGACTAGTCTAGGGTGACAAAAACCTTATTCTATTCCGTCGGCGTCCAACAACGCAATGACAGACAAAATTGTCATTATCTAGTATGGTTATAGCGACTCACTTAGAGGAATTAACATTATAAATTTACGGGAGACCATTCTCTTTTCTAATTGGATTACTCGGGAACATACTCGTGCTGGTACTCAACCTCGGGGGTTGGTATACCAACATTCTCTTTTACAGACAACATAGGGTTGTCTAGGGCATTCTCTTTACATTCTCTTTTCATTCTCTTTGCTGCATTCTAGTAAACATTAACACACATGCATTAATAAAAGATCGGACACAAACATACTAAACTGTCTTCAGAAAATATAGGATTTTTTGGTGGTTACAAAATTTTACAAATCTTTTTCTTAAACATGCTTATGAACTCACCAACATCTTTATGTTGACCTTTTTAAATTAACTTGTATTCTCAGGAAACCGTTGAGCAGGTTGGGCGGAACGAACTAATGGATCTTTTGATATATTTTGTTTCATCATACTTTAACTATTTTGGCATTGTAATATTCAATTACAATACTCAATGTAAAATATGAATGTTGTTATATTACATGTGTGATGATGATGATGTTATGTTTCAATTATATACTCTGTCATGACACTACAAAGATGAAGTCACGCACGAGCCCCCGGACGTTTCCGCCGTCTGGTTTGGGGGGTGTGACAGATTGGTATCAGAGCATTGTTTATAGTGAACTAGCATATCTATTCATACAAGATATGCAACTATAAATACAATGGGACTAAACTACTCTGAACATAATAATTAAAATACATACCAATGTGTACATTTTAGAGTAATAACACAACAACAACAGTAAAAGTCTTTGGAGGATTTGAACATCGCGATTAAACGCAGACACTTATGTAGTCGTATTGGGGGTGAATGTAGCCTGATCAACTACATTCATTCAAAATACGATCAACATGTGTTCGGGAGAAATCGTGATGGACAATGACTCAAAAACTTACCATTTAATTATCCAAAGAGCTTATAGAACCAAACCTAAACAAAATTAAAATACTATAGGAGTATTTGGTGTGCTACTTGGT